TCTCTCTCTTTAAAAAAAAAACAACTTTGGATACAGAGGTACATTTAAATTAGTCTGCAGTGGCAAAGATGGCGTGGTCCCTGCCATGAAGTTTTGAGTCAAGTGGGGAATAGAGCTACTAAATTATTAGATGATCCAATGTGTCAGGTGCCACTGGGGAGATTGGGAGTGGAGGATGGGGTACCTGACCTATTCTGTAGATTGGAGAGGCCTTCCCTGAAGTGGTGTTAAGATGGTAAATACGAATTGGTGTGAACATACTTTATATACAGAGATATGAAAAATTGTGCTCTATATGTGTAGTGAGAATTGTAATGCATTCCACTGCTGTCATATATTTAAAAAATAAAATCAATAAAAGATTTTAAAAATAAAATAAAATTGAAATATTAACACACAAAAAAGGTGGTAAATACACTTGTGACCTGCGAAATGTATACAGTCAGAAGGGATTACTGTTGTGTTAACATTATTTCTCAAGGCCCTGTGATTTGCTATATACTCAGCAGTCTCTCTGGAAAACAGGTTTCTTCTAATCCTTGCCTGCTATGTGCAGAGAATCAAGGGAACTATTCGGCCTTTTTTTATTTGGTTATTAAAACCATCCATTATTAGGTTTTAGAACTAGTAGATGAATTTAGAAAATGTGAACTTCCAGCAGGTTGTTTATTTTCAATCCCTTTGTACAAAGAAACAACAAATACCCAAAGAAATTAAGTGACTTGCCTAAGGTCATAGAGCTTAAAAGTGGTAGAAGGAAAATTTTTGTCTGCCATGGCATGGTCCTGTTTTCATTAACAAAGATAATACATTAATATGTTCTGGAAAGAGTGGTGAGGTTGGATTTTTTTCCCCCATCTCTGCTGACTGAAATACCAATAGCCACAGAATGACAGCTTACCCAGTATAGCAGCATGGAGCCTGGGACCATAATGCCTTGTTGAGCTTTGAAACACCAAGCAAGTGATTATACTCTATGTTCATGTTTCCTCTTGTGAGAAAGCATATCCTACCTTATAGGATTATCATGAAGATCGAGTAACTGCATACAAAGTGCATAAATAGAGCTTCGAACATACTCAAAGTTTTTTTAAACAAAGAGGGAACTCTTAATAGCATAGAAAACAATAACAAACAAACAAAATAACCTCCTCTTTCTAACCAGAAACACCTAACAACATTAATAACAACAAATTGTAAGTGCTTTCTTTATGGCAGAAAATGACCATGAAATTATCTGGGAGAAGATATCCTCATTTCCAAGGTAAAGCAAGCTAATACTCTCTTATTTTCTACTTCTCCAACCTGCTTCTTCTGTTATGCCTTTACAGCTCCAGATCTGGGACACTGCAGGTCAGGAGAGATTTCGTTCTATTACACAGAGTTATTACCGAAGTGCTAATGCCTTGATCCTTACCTATGACATTACCTGTGAGGAATCCTTCCGTTGCCTTCCTGAGTGGCTGCGGGAGATAGAACAATATGCCAGCAACAAGGTCATCACTGTTTTAGTGGGTAAGTAAGCATAAATGAGGAGGGAAAGTGATTTGTGGGCATCAGAAAATTTATAATCACATACGGCTTATGCCTTGCTATCTTCCAAGAATGTAATCTCTCTCTTTTTTTTTTTAAATTTATTAGTTAGAGATGGACCTTTATTTATTTGTTTGTTTATACATGGTGCTGAGAATCGAACTCAGTGCATCACACGTGCTAGGCAAGTATTCTATCACTGAGCCACAACCCCAGCCCACAAGTCTCTAGCTAGATAAGTCATGCAACCAACATTAGTTCATCTGTAATTGAAGAGAGAAAAAAAATCAGTTCTATCCCATCATGATAGTTTAGGAAATAAGGTAGAAAACATTACTGATTTCTCTGGGCTCTAGGGGAGAAGCTGGGTGGTCACAAAAGTTATGTGGGCTGCTATACATTTTTTAAAAACCTAGTTACAAGGTGGTAGAAACTGCTAGTATAAAAAGGGGAAAAAATGTTTTTTTTTGGCGGGTACTGGGGATTGAACCCAGGTGCACTTAACTACTGAGCCACATCCCCAGCCCACTGAGCCACATCCCCAGCCCGTTTTTATACTTTTTATTTAGAGACGGGGTCTCACTGAGTTGCTTAGGGCCTTGCTAAATTGCTTTGAACAATTTGATTTGAACAAACTTACCAAAAAAATTATAAATTAGGAAAATTTAAACATTGAATTTTTGAGGCTACTAAGGGTTGTTTATTGTTTTAGGTGTGAAAATGACATTGTAGTTCAGGTTTTTTTTTTAATCTTATCAAAGTCACATACTGATATTGTAAGGTAAGCTGGCTTTGAACTTGTGATCCTCCTGCCTCAGCTTCCTGAGCTGTTGGGATTACAGGTATGTGTCACCGCACCCATCTAAAATATCTCTTCTAAGGTGATAATAAATAATTGCTCCAATAATGAATTTATTATCTAAAATACTTTCATTAATTTTTTTTTTCTTTCTTAAATTTTTGCCGATTTGAGAAATTCTGTTTCAGAAACCGTCCACTAAGGGAAAAATGCTGCAGTTTGTTTCATTTTGTAGGAAGACAACCTCTGTCTAGCATGGGGAAAACCAGAAACCAACCCTTGCTTTTTTGTGGTGACAAACATACTCATTAAAAATGGAATTACAGTAAAAACCAGATCACTAAAAACTCCTAGTTGTGATGAAAAGTTTTAATAATTGTATGGTTGTAAATGTTTTCCTTTGGGGAAGGAATTGCTGTATAGTTTAACAAGACCCGACTTTAAAAAAAAATGCGTAAGGAACTTCTGAAACATTAAGTCACAAATTATAGCTAACAGTACACTAAGTAAACTTTTTATAACAAGCATTATAACTGGTAGATGCCAGGAATCATATTAGGAACTTTACATGTCATGATCCCAGATTTGTAAGTTAGGAAGTAAAGGCTCAGTGATGTGAAATTCTTTGTCCAAGGTCACATTGTGTACCATGTTGCTTTGTAACAAGTTGCTGGACTTTTCCTTCAGGCTGCTATTTAAGTACCTGCCTCTTTATGAGCTAGTGTTCCAAGCCCACTACTGAAAACACTTGTGTACAGTGGTAAGCCCTTGCCATAAAGTGTTTGAAAGCCTGTAGCTCTGGACCTGTGTTTTCTGTGTTCCACAGAAAGCCCTTTCTAGAGAAAGCCCTCAAATTCAAGCATTACTTCCTGGGATTTTATCAAAAAAAGTTAAATGGAAATTTGAGGAGAGGTAAGTTAGTTCAATATGAAAGGGATTGGCTTTAAAATTTTTTGGTATTGAAATTTCAAACATAAGCAAATCAGAGAAATCAGTATACACAATCCCATGAATACATCTCTCAATTTCAGAAAGTATCACCTAACTCATGGCCAATCTTATTTATCTATTCCCTATCTGTTCTGTCCATTCTTTCCACGCAGATTATTTTGAAGAAGTCTCAAATTTTTGCATTACCTTACAATATCAGTATGTGACTTTGATAAGATTTTTTTTAAAAAAAAAACTGAGCTACAATGTCATTTTCACACCTAAAACAATTAACAATCCCTTAGTAGCCTCAAAAATTCAATGTTCAAATATTCCTAATTTTTTTGGTAAGTTTGTTCAAATCAAATCCAAATCCCTATCCCTATACTTTATTGCTGTCTTTTAATTCTCCCTTTATCTATAAGTTCCATTGCCATTTCTTTTTCTCTTGGAATTTATCACTAAAGCATTTGTCCTATAGAGTTAATAAGGATCAGTTGTTTTCTTTGTGGTGTCATTTGACATGTCCCTTATTCACCTGCATTTCTCACAGATTTGTAAATAAATCTAGAGGCCTGATGAGATTTATTTGTTTTAGGGGATTTTTTTTTGAGCAAAAATACCCCATATATGATATTTCAGGTATAGTTCTTCTAGTATAAGAAAGAAGAACATCTGATTTTTAAAAAAATTCACTGCTTTTCAGGGTAATAAGTTCATTCCCTAGGACCTTTGATTAACTATTGAAATTTGTTTATATTTTTAATAGAATATGAACCTGTGGACTTAATATATTTAGTATATTCTACTACTTTGCAATTATTATTGATTCTCCAATTATTACTGATTGTTCAAATTTTAAGGTGGAAATTGCTTCAAATGAATTCCTGAAATCTTTTGATATGACCCTAGGAATTCTTTAATAATTTTTTTGCTTTCTAGAATGACAAGTATTCCAGGTAAATCCATGCATTTTTCTGCCCCAGACCTCATTTGTTCAAGAAATAGTTTCTTTTTAATGGTAAGTTTCTATTTATAGGCCACACCACAATCTACATATTAGGAGTTCCCCTTATTGGTAGGTTGGCCATTCTTTTTAGGCTTTTCAGTGGGCAGGGCTGATATGTGTGTGTGCATATGTTGGATTCTGTACCATGCACAAGAGGGTTGTCTTACTAGGCTCTACTAAATATTCTGACAAGACTCTCATAAGTTCCACTTGGCATTGTATTCACTTACATTATGGCTTACGGGCAGGTCAGCATTAGGCATACCTTTTCAGTGAAAGGAGTTCTCATAGTAGTCCACACAGCTTTCCAGGACTCTCCCTGCACTTGGACAATTCAAGTGTCAGAAAACAAGGCTCAATTCAGACAAGTGAGGAATCTGCCTGGCCTAAAAGTCTCAGTGCCCCATAGGAGCCATCTTGTTTTATAACAACTATACAAGCTTGATTTTTAGGACAGAATCAGCACACTCAGGAAGCCAAGTTATGGCATTCCAGTAGGTCTTTATAATTCATACACAGAATTCCCAGGTCAGAGTGATTTATCAATTGGGTCATTTAAGAGATGTTGCCAGGTAAAATAGTTGACATCATCTTTATCAAATTTCCTGGAGAGTAGGTGTTGAAAACATCTGTTATCTTTTAAAAGATAAAATACATCATGAATTATTCATACTGAAACTTCCACTTATAATACAGGATTGCAGAAATTTTACTAAACTTCATTAATCTTATATCTGTATTTTTTCCTTCTTGTGACAAAAATTCTAGTTCCCAGTGATACTAGAATAATTACTTATTTGCTTTATCCCGTAATATACATATAGCAGCCTCATAGTAACAGTAGCAGCACTGCCACTGACAAAATGATTAGTGGAACTGTTAGAGAGTTTTTCCTTTATTTTTTTTTTAATTTATTTTTTTAAAGAGAGAGTGAGAGAGGAGAGAGAGAGACAGAGAGAATTTTTTTTTAATATTTATTTTTTAGTTCTCGGCGGACACAACATCTTTGTTGGTATGTGGTGCTGAGGATCGAACCTGGGCCGCACGCATGCCAGGCAAGCGCGCTACCACTTGAGCCACATCCCCAGCCCCGAGTTTTTCCTTTAATTCTTTGTCTTCAGCATGTATACCTAAGGATGTATGGTTAAATTACCATATGTTACACTTACTTGAAATAGTTGTGTGTGGTTATACCACTACATGGAAGCCATCTTTGTTTAATTTTGCTTTCAATTTTAGGGATTATACTTTGTATTAATTGTATAATTTTAAATGTGTAAATATGAAAAACACTTGTAAGTTTCTGAAGTCAAAACTATAAAACAAAGTATATTCAGAGAGGCCTGACTTCTATTCCTATCCTCTTAACCCTGTTTTTATTTTCTTTTAAATAGGTAACCATTATCTTTTAAATTAAGATGTGTGTTTTATATATATTCATATTCTTCCCTTTTTCTTAGTTGTAAATTATATTTTTCTGCTCGGCCTTTTTTGCTTAATATATCCTAGTGTCCTCATTTCATGGTAATATATAGAAATATTCCTAATGGCTTTTTACAGGGGCAGATATTCCACTGTGTGGATGTACAGTCTTACCTAGCCAGTACCCTACTAATGGACATTGGGGTTGTTTCCAGTTCTTTGTCATTATAAATAGTGCTAATATTTTAAAAGAAACATTCCAGTAATGACAGTCACATTTGCTTTGCTTTACTAGCCCATCTGTCTGGCTTGACTTCAGATCTGGAAGTTAATTTTTATGCTTCTGAGCTGGCAGAAAGTCAAGTGTTGATTCTTTCTTTGATCATACCACTGTTATAGGAAACAAGATTGACCTGGCTGAAAGGAGAGAGGTCTCCCAGCAGAGAGCAGAAGAATTCTCAGAAGCTCAGGACATGTATTATCTGGAGACTTCAGCCAAGGAATCTGATAATGTGGAGAAACTCTTCCTTGACTTAGCATGCCGACTTATCAGCGAAGCCAGACAGAACACACTGGTGAACAATGTATCTTCACCCCTCCCTGGAGAAGGGAAAAGCATCAGCTATTTGACTTGTTGTAATTTCAACTAACAGCTGAGGCAAGGAGAAGCAAAAGGAATCAGCAGCTGCCCCGATGGGCCACGAGTTGCTGGGGAGATCAGACGATGACTGTGGCTCCTGGTCTGGGACCCTCTGACTCCTGTGGGCTCCTGAGCTTACAAAGCATGGCAGGCCAAGGGCCTCGTCCACAGGCCAGCATTAGCAGAACACATAACGGTTTCATCCTTTTGCAGTCTGGAGTTAGAGTGAGAAGAAAATTGCACTAGGCGCTCCATGATCTGCAGAGCATGTTGCTTTTGTTTTTTTTAAAAAGCAAGTAAAAGCGCATTCCTGAACACAGTCTAGGGGGAAGCGTACTATAGAGATTCCTCCTGTACATCAGTAAGCGCATGTGGGGGCTGTTCTTTAGGGCTTCAATGATGATATTCTGGTGGCCCTGGTTTTCTTGTCTACCAGGTAAACCAAAACTGGGAAGGCCAAGTACTCTCTGTGGTGTGTAATGATGACCCCATGGAGATTCTGAAAAGTGTTATTTCTTTTGTCCACAGGCACTTTCAAGAACTTTCGGATGTAAAAATTATATGAAACCTTTACCCATGACCAACAAAAACAATCATTGTTTTAATTATATGTAAGCTCCATGACTCCTTTTGGTGCTAATGATTCTGCTATTTCACAGACCAAACATTTTAGTACATTGATGTCCTTAAATGTATTACACAGAAATAAAAAAAAAAAATGGGGGAATTCCATGAATCGGCACTCTTTTTCAAAGTCTCATTACTATCTTTTCTAGAATGAATTTCTAGGAAGAGAATACTTTTTCTTTCATGTTCCCCTTCAAATCTCTAAATTTTCTTCTCTAATCTTTCCTGCCCTTTAAGTAAAAGTTTGAAAATTAAAAAAATATAAATGACTGATGATATTCTACTATAAAAGATAATTTCTTAGACATTACTAATAGTGTGAGAAAACAGACAAGATATGACCAAAATACTGTGGATTAATGGACTGCAGAACAGGATTCCAAGCAGAGCACAGTCCTTGATAACAGGTCACATCTTTTACTTTCTGGTACTATCCTTCTTGGACAAACCAAGGCTTAGGATTTTTGTAGATATTTTTAGCAAAAGTACGAGTAGCAACAGATGAAAAGCCTCACAAATCATTTTTGTATCTTTAATAACCTTAAAAAAATTCTGCTATGGAAGCAGGTTGAGCTGTCATTTATCATCTCTTTATAATAAGGTTACTCTCAGACTCATGAAACTTCCTGTTTCTTTCTCTTTTCCTCTCTGTCTTGGTCTCCCCTTTTGGTCCTCTTTTTCTTCCTTCCTGATATGCATGTGTTACTCCTCCAATTCAAAGGAGGTATATATGCCTTTACTTAGCCAGTTTTAAAAGAGGACTCAAAATGCAAGATGTGCTGCTTAATCTGTGTTGCTGTTTCTTCAGTGCCATACTTTGATACTTTCCAATTTGTTCACTGATATAAATGCAAATTGGGAAAGTAATTAAACCTGAATGCTATTGATGCTGTCAGATGTTTCTGTAGCTTGCTGCTTAGCATATCTGATTGATGCTAAGTAATGGAATAAGGGTATGACATGTAATTCTGCTGTTGCTGGAGATGGTAACAATCTCGGTCCTGATATGTTGATGTTTGAAAGCTATTTAATTATAAAGAAATGAGTCATGTAGAACACAGTATTGATAAAGCATTTTTAGCATTTCTCTATCAGGTTTCAGCATGACCAATCTCTTGCACATAGAATTACATATATCATTAAGAGACTGATTCTTCTGATTGGCCTCACTGTGTTTTTCATGATTCTATGGGAAAGAAGAGCAGATCCCAGAAGCTTGAACTTTCTTTTAGAATCTGTCTCTACAGAAGAAAAAAAAACTTTAATAAAAACTCAAATTATTTATAATTATTGCCTTTCCCTCCTCATCTTTTCCACTAAGTCAGCAATTAAAGTATCAAAAAATAAGTTAATCAAGGTGGGCAGAACCTATTTTTTAAACTGCAAGATAATGTTCCTAAATCTGGATTTATTACTTTTTTGTTGGCAAAATTCCAATGTCCCCAGCATGTGATGACCCGGCTTCATCTCACAGTAGCAAGTATGTTAAAAATAAAGTTGCTTTGCAAACTTAAAGGGCTTTGTTGGATTGGACTAATTTAGTTCCAAAATGACAGCTTCTTGGGCCACATTTGTATTATGGAAATCTTATTCCCTAGGGTTTGGTTAAACCTCTCCATATACCATTGGTCAGACTCAGAATGAGATTAGAGTGTTTTCTTGGCCTTTTTTCTTTCTTGGTACCTTCTAGTCTTCTGTAGCTTATAGTCACCCATCCATGGCCTGTCAACAGGGACACATGAGAATGTGGGGCTTTGTTTTTCTTAGTTCTGTGAATTTCAGATTAGGCCTTATGGACATTTGTCCACCAATGTATCTCAAGTTTGAGAATAAGCTCTGACAGGTGCAATAAATATCAAATAAATGATTTAGTGCTATGAGGGACTTTTTTGTTGTTGTTCAATAACTACTCCTTCAAGTAGAACTTGAGAAAAATACAATTAAATTAAGTCATATTAACTTAGGCCAGGACCTAAACTTACTGGTTTGCCTAATTGTTCTTATTGTTAGGGCAATATTTGCTGAGATGAGCCTTCCTTAGGGCGAAAAAATCAAATTCTTATTTAATAGTAGATTTAAAAAACAAAAACCAAAAAAGTTTCTTTATTGTAGTTTAGTTTGGCTTGACTCTGACAACTAAGACCAGAGTCTATGCCTTTCATTGTTGGTAAGATCTTTTCCTTCTTTTAATAAAGTTATTAAATAATTAGCAAAACTCTTTTCAGCTTCCAATGAAAACATCTTCCTGTTATAGAATTAGACTTGGGAAAATCTATGAAATCATAATTTGCTGTTATCAATGACATGGCTTTGTATAAATAAATCCTCAAAGGATTTCATGCCTTTTCCTTTGCCTACGCAAGACTTTTTGCTCCTTTGTATACTTCCATTATATCTGTTGAATTATATTAACATTTAATTTGTGATTATAAAAGGCCAAGTATCTGTACATTATTTGGGTTAAGTCAGTGGTTTTTCCTAGCTTTTCTTTTTCCAATCTTTTGGTCATTTTCATTAGAATCTCTCCTTGAGTAAAGTGGCAAGGAAATAACTGAAAATGAAACTCAATTTGATTGATTTGAAAACATGTCAAGTTCTGATTTAGGATTTGATAAGAAGGTAGATGCTACTGACCAAAATAAGGTATTTGGATTAGGATCATTTTAGACTTGTTGGAGGAAGGAACAGATTCAACATAGAACTGGAATCTCTCTTTCTTCTTCTGTTCATGAATACATGCCTTGGGAGGACACTGGTGACCCCCACAGTGCTAGGTTAATTATTTGCCTCATCTATCCTTTAAGCTGTCCCATAGTTCCTCCAGATCCAGCATCAAATTTCAGTTAATTACTCACTCTGAATACCAGTTGCAAGCTGGGCATGGTGGCACATGCCTGTAATCCCAGTGGTTTGGGAGGCTGAGACATGAGGATCTCAAGTTCAAAGCCAGCCTTAGCAACAGAGGGGTGCTAAGCAACTCAGTGAGACTCTATGTCTAAATAAAATACAAAATAGGGCTGGGGATGTCACTCAGTGAGCAAGTGCCCCTGAGTTCAATCCTCGTTATAAAACAAACAAAAAAATAAAACAAAAATAACCAGTTGCAAATGATTTTGAACTGGTCTTGTGATTAAACTTTTTTTTCTTTTTTTTTTTGGTAAACTAAGCCACAGAATGAGATGTCATCTATAATAATAATAAAAAAAACTGCTTCTTTTCCTCCATGTATCATATTAATGGCCTTAAAGATAGACGTGTTCTATTTTCTTAACCTTATAGAATTTGTGTATTTCATGGTCATATATACTTAGGGATCACTTCTTCATTCATTTCTGGAAGAGGTTTATTTAGGATTTGCCATTTCTTTTTTCTAGAATTTTTGTTTTAACTGCAACTGGTTACTTTCCTCAGTTATGATTCTCACAGGTGTGTTTTGATGTAACTGTAAGACTTTAGAATTAACTAGAGAAAAGCACTGAAAAAAATTTTGCATCTCATCTTTCTGACAAATGTATTCCGACTAAGCAGTATTGTTAAACACTAATTTTAACAGCAAAGATATAGGATCTATTTTCTTTGGATTTCATTTCTGACAAGAGCCTCTTTTGTATTTGAAAAGAAAGCTGCCTTCTGCTACATTGTACACTCTGATAATTTCTTCATACTGAGTTAAGAAATACCTTCAAAACACTAACTAAAATAGTAATGTTAGAAGAGGAGAAATGGCACTTCTTTCTGATGTCCCATGATGTTGAAATGTTATAATCATTCCTAGGAGCCATACTTTGAAATTAAAAACAAATTGAGGCATAACCAGCTTGTGAAGGAACTTAAAATTTAAGACATTTGAAGAATAATTGAGGGATTTGGGGGGAGGTGGATACAACTAGTCTATTATAGCAAGATACTCTGTAGTTCAAAAAGGTAGAATAAGGCCCACGGAATAAAGGTTACGGAGCCACTGGTTTAGGCTCTATTTCAGGGAGAAAGGGGCCACAATACCTTCAAGCAATACCTTCTGTCAAGCAGAGCACAGATAAGAACTGAGCAAAGAGAATGTGGAGAAGATTCAAGCATTGATTAGAAGTTTGACTAAATGACTATGAACTTAAAATTCTACATTACAGTACTTTTCTCCTCATAACATGTTTAATTAAGTATCTTTTGACCCATGGCTAATACTTTTCTTAAAAAGGCTTTCTTCTTCTGCCACAAATATATTCACCCTTCAGGGAAGAGGTTGGTTATGTGTTGTTAAGCCAAGAGGCTGATCTGCAGCTGGGATTGGCTTGCCAGTCCATTCACCAGTGTCCTGTTGAAACCACAAACTAGTTGTTAAGTTAAAAAAGGTATTATTTTTGTAAGTTATATGGAAATTGTATCAGTGTAATGATAATGATCTCTTCAGGATTTTAGGATAGGCATTTTTAACAGAGCAGAATCTTCCATTTAAGATCCCACAAAATAAAACAACATTAAGTTTTTCAGCTTCTGTGAGATGGACTGGTGAGTCATTGGCATAAAGCAGTCCTTGGGATCTCAACTAACATTTGGTGGGTTTCCTTGATTCTTTTGAAAGTGAGTTTTAAAAACCTGAGGCCAAATTGCTCCATGTATAAAGTAACAAAGCATAGGCCTTTGCTTTTAAATGAGATAACTCTAAGCAATTTTTGCTAATAAAGCCCATCACCCAAATGATTCCACCTACAAAATAACTTGTACTCTTGCTAGGCTGAATAATAGCTTTTCATTGGTTTAAAAACCAACAAGTCATTGGTCTTGAATCAGTATGGGGAGAAACATACTTGAGTTTGGGTAAGCCTTCCTCTGACTCCTTTGGATAAGAGGTCAGAACACAAAGGCTAGCCCCCACTAATTTGGCCTACTGAGACGTACAAGTCAAAATGTTATGTTCCCATTAGCTTAAAGCAGAATTTTGAAGATGCTGTGTTCTAGTTCCTGATTAAATCCTTTGTAGGTGATGACTCTGACATTTTAAAGACTGAGGTAGGGAGATGTATAGAAGGAGAACACTAATTTAGGTGAGAGGGGCTCTAAGATGCATAAATTAGCTGTGACTTTAGACAAAGCACATAATCTTGAGAAAATATAGATCTATCAGCATTATTGTGAACATTAGATGAGATAAATTGAAATCAGAGTGCTCAGTAAACAGTAACCACTCAACTATTAGTTCTGTCTTCCTTTCTTAAGATTTTGGAGCTGGGCATGGTGGCATGTGTCTGTGATCTGAGCTATGTGAGAGGCTGAGGCAGGATGTTCACTTTAAGATCATCTGGGGAAACTCAAAAAAGATTTTGAATGGTGTGATACAAGCATAGATCCTTCAGAGACAAAACCAAAAAACCTTCCTGGCTTAAAAGAAAACAATTCCATTTTTGATTTCCTTAAAAGAAAATCACTTATTTGATCTGCTTTTGGGCATTATTGTCACTGTTTCTTTATATACTTCTGCAAAGATATATTCTTTCAATAGGCAATTGCAGGGTTGTAAACTCCTTCTTATCAGGAAACTTAATCTTAGAACTGAAATACCTCACAGTGCAATTTAAACCTCTTTCCTCTTTGATCCCATTCTCCATGGTAAGAAAAATGGGTTGATCCCTTTCTTTTTAAGGAGACACATTTGCAACTTATTATTGCTCTTTTTGCCTAACTTTACTTAAATAATGGTAAAAGCTCATTAAGGTGATAATCATTCTTCCCTTCAATGTCAGGAAAGTTTTTGTTAATTCTTAGCTGCTTCTTCCACTTTCCCCAGTATTGGGGATTGAACCCAGGGCTTCATGCATGATAGTAAAGCACACTACCATTAAGCTACACCCCCTGCCCAACTCTTAGCTTCTTATTGATATCAGATTTAGATCTTAATCTTTATGTTGATCAACTCTTCAGTTATACATGTATTTTTCTTCTTTAGTTATATAATTGATAACAAAGTATGCTTCTGAAGAATAATTCTGGTTGTATGGCTTGTTTCCATCTCTTGGTAAAATGGAGTCATGAATACCCGTTTTGGGATCTGCTTTAAGAGTTAATTTCATATGAGACAATATTTGATGAATGTAATTACCAGTACCCAAAAGGGTAACCCCCTTTCTATGCGTGCACTATGTTCTGAAATAAAAGTTGGAGTACCAAATGCCTAATAAAGCAAAAATTCATATACAGAAAAACACAAGGTAAGAATCTGATCAGATAACATAATTTACTAGTTGGCTGAATGGTGCACAGCTTTTGTTTAAGGTTACACTATATGCCTGATTCAATAACAATAGTAAATTTGATAAGCCCTCTGAAAAACAGCTGCTAATCATATTGCATTCTGGAATGTAATCATTAGGAATAAGTATTCTCTTGTTCTATGTAATTACAGAATGCTAATGGAAATTTCTTATAGGTTATTTGATAAATGAATGTCAAATGATTTCTTTAAACAATTAAAAAAATTCTTATCCCCTTAAGTCTTTTGGGGTTTTCATGTCCCTGTTGTTAAAAAAAACAAATCAAATGACTGGAATGCTGGCTTCTAATTTCTACTCACTGAAGTGTCCTCTAGACATATCACATGGTTAGAGCTCTTGATGGTATACAAAGGAGCTGCATAAATGTATTTGTACTAGTGCATGAGTAAAATTTGTTTTCAGCTAAAAAAAATCCACTCTGCTAAAAAATTCAGCTAATAAAGAATTAAGAAGAGTTTTGATAATCTAAAGGGGAAAAGTGTGCCCTATATATTGTTGCACACATTTTAATGCATGACTTTTAGTATAGGGATGAAATAAAATTCAAAAATACAATTCTGGAGATCTCAGCAGCTAGTTAAAAATATTTAGAGAGTCTGCTTTATGAAGACTTAGAGATTCCTTGATTTCCCCCTTCTATCTTTCCATTAAAATGTGGATCTTTAATATACACAATTTTAACACAGGTTAGTCATTGAGTTTTATGAACTCAATTCTTAATATTTGGCTATTGGTTTTATACATAGGATCTAAGTAAAATCTGTATACATCAGCATATAGAATCTAATAAGCTTCAATATAAACATAGTAATTGTTTATAATGCTAATATGCAAATATTAACGGTACAATGTATATTTTATGTCCATGTATTAATTTTTTTTACTTAACAAAAAAAGCCTGTTAGAAATATAAGCCACTGATGACCTGAGGCAATTAGCTGAAAACATTCTGTAGAAAAATGATTTATTGCAAATTCACTCAACATTTTTTTAAATAATAAATTGTTGATGGTCCTTTACTTTGTTTATTAATTTATTTATATGTGGTGCTGAGAATTGAACCCAGTGCCTCACACATGCTAGGCAAGTGCTCTACCATTGAGCCACAACCCCAGCCCCCACTCAACATTTTAAAAGGGGGACAGGGAGAAAAAGCAAACCTGAACAAAATATTTTAAAATAAAGTTATGTTTCGTTTTAAAATTAAGATAAATATACACACCATTAATTTGTCCTTTGCAAAGTAAAAAACTCAATTTTTTTTAGTGTATTTACTATGTTGTTGTGCAATATCATCACTAATTTTAGAACTTGTGTCATCCCCCAAAGAAACCTTATATCCATTAGCAGTCACTCCTTCTTCATCCTCCCCAACATCTGACAGCAAATAATCCTTCTGTTTCTATGGATTTTCTTATCTTGGACATTTCATATAAATATAGTCCTCAAATATGTGGCCTTTTGTGACTGGCTTCTCTTCCTTAACATTTTTAAGGCTCATCTATGTTGTAGCATGAATCAATAGTTTCTTTTTATGGTTAAGTAATATTCCATTTCATGTATATATAACATCTGTCCATCAGCTCATGGACATTTGGGTTGTTTCCATTTTTTTGGCTATTATAAGTAATGCTGCTATGAACATTTATGTAAATTTTTTTTGTGTGGGCATATGTGTTTACATCTCTTAAAAGCAATTAGCCTAACAAATCTTGTCATTTGTCTGTATTTTAAAAGAACTCTTAAATTACTACTTGGAGAATGCAACTTATGATCTTAGTTCATTTGATCAATTAGGAGACTCTTGAATAGTGGCTAACTCTCCAATATGTCCATAAATTTTTTTCTATGAGCCTGTCATGTAGATATGATAATCAATTCCTTGAAGACTGCTTCAGTCTTGTAGAAATTGCATTGTCATCACAGAATTTTTAGTCTTTTGCATTGTTTTTAAGGATAGCTGCAAATCATGGTGGAATGGAATACTAATTCAATCTTTTAGGATTCAGTGAAACATTTTTGAGATACAATTTTTTTTACATGTTGTCTTTAAAATTTTTCCTTCTTGAAAAAAGATTGTGAAATTGCCAAACCATCTGACTGTTCATTGTGGCTTAAGTTTTTATTATTAAGAAATAATTCATACCGAGAGGAAAAAGTAAAAAGAATGTATTTTGTGTGCAAAGAATGAATGTATTTAACAAAACCTTTTTATTTGTAAGAATTTTTTAAAAAGTTGAATGGAAATTGCTTTCCCATGTACTTGTACATAAATAAACATTTCCTATTGTCCACATTTAGAGGGTCATATGCCATGTCAATATGCAAAAAGCAAATAGGTTTTAAATATACTAATATCCTTCAGCATAATGTGAAATGTGCACTAGATTTGGGGATCTGGATACATGAATTTGAATGTTGATTCTCTAACTGGTTTAGTGGAACAAGTCAATATTTTATATCATGGTTTTCTCTTCAATAAAGAGAGGATAATCTAGATCACCTTTAAGGTCTCTTCCAACTATAACATTAAATGAGACTACTCTCCTATATTCAGAATGTGAGAATTATGCTATTTATGATACTAGGATAGATGCTTTAACCTATGATAAAATTGAAGGAGTATTACACTGTGAACCAGTATCCTAGTCCTGACACTGAGAAGCTAAAAATCCTAGTACCATTAGACAGTGGAGTAAAAAATTTATTTCAAACCTTAAATTTTACAAGTTCAAAATATGGGCACCAGATAACATACTTTTAAGGTTCCTTCCAGCTAAAACACATTATATGGTTCTATGTTTTTTAGAGATATCACCTAAGATGTTATAATTCACAAAAAAAAGACTACCTACTCACTAGTAAGACATTTATTCATTCATCCATTCATTTATTTACCATTTATTGAGCATGAGGCAAGTATAGGAATCTGCCTTTCAGATGTCCTCTACCTTCACTGCTAGAGTTCCCTTTTCTTGAAATTCATCTCCATCCCAATCTTTGCCTCTCACTCTTTGCCTGTGACATTGATTTGAAAGAATGCCTCTTACAAAAGCACAGTAAGAGAAACAAAATATCCTTGTAGGGGTAAGTGTGAAACAGAGAGTTCCAACAAAATATCAGCATGGATGCTGGCAAACCAAGCGATTGTAAAGTTTTATAACCCTCACAGTATTGCAGCCTAATAGATAAGTAACTGGAAATCTGCAAGATAGTTTTGCTTTGGGAAAGGATTTCACAACATCTCCTAGAAAACCCCCAGGAAGCAATAGGCAGTTGAGAAGGGAGTTATTGTCTGAATTTGGGCTGCATTAGGGGTCAGAAACCCCTGCACATACCATCTCTGGGACCTCACATACATTCCACATGGGTAGCTACCTTTTGAAAAAATGTGGCTGAGTGACTGACTCAAATCCACTGAGCAGTCTGCATTATAGGGGACAGTTGTGACATAGAAGGGAATGAAGGATATTACACTTAAGAACTGGGAGATCAGGAAGCTTGCCCTCTGAGATCAAGGGCATGGCAGGTTATAGATGGATTCATGCTGGTACTTTGTCTGAAGGCAGCCATTCTTGTGGTTCTTACTTCCCTTCCCTTCACCACAACATACACGCGTGCCTGTCACTCGCAGGGCAGAGAAAGAGCTCTGTGGTTTCACTGCTTTACTGAACACAGAGTTATGCTGGGGTGGTTTTGAGCATGGCTGGGCTCTGGGGTTTGAAGCTGTCATTCTGCCCCTAGCATGCTTGGCCTAAGGACAGGAGAGCAATTGGGCTTAGTGCCTGCTGCAATCCCTCTCTCCACTTGTTCCTCCAGGCACTTCAGCTGGAGAAAAATTTCCCAACTGTCTTCCACACCCATGGGCATGAACAGTCAAGGAGGCCCAAGAGGAATTTTGCCTAGCTTCAACCACATTTTGTTCCCAGTAGCTCCATGGCAGGCACTTTAACTAAAGGAGTCAGGAGAGAAAAGCCCCATTTGTCATGGTACCCCCAGATGCATATGGCTGGGGCCAGGAGGTGGGGGAGTAGAGACTGAAGTCCTGCTCCTGGGTGGGTAATCCCACAATATAATCCCACAATAACAGCACATAGGGACACTGCAGTTTCTGCTACCATCTCACCTATGCAGTTCCCCTTACAGGCTGCTTCTGCACCTTTTCCAACTACACACTGCTGTTAGGACCAGCTGTGAGCACCACAGTGTAGGTGCTATAGTTCCTGCCATTACTTCTCATGAAGCACCAAGGCTTGCAACCACTATCTGCTCAAAGGAAAATAGATTCAGGCTGTTTCCTATTACTGGTATAGTCAGTGCCGCATAACCCTTATAAGACAAAGCCAACACCAATATTGTCAGAGGAAACCCCCATCACCTGCTACGGACCACCACGCCCATTGTAGGAGTAGCTTCATGATGTAAACTTCACACTCTCTTCGGTCTACACCACACCTGCCTGAACTGCTTGAGTGTCCTCACTCTTGCAAGGCATACAGAGACAGTAGAGCTTCTCCAGCTGTGACACAGTGCACATTGTGCCCAAATTTGTTAATTACAGTTAAAGAAGCTTCAGGGAGACCACACTATGCTGCCCAGTTGACATAAAGCTAACATTGCATAAAAAGCATAACAAGTGATACCCCAAGACACATTTTCAGGAGAAAGATTCTGAAGGCCATCCCATAAGTGGTAGAGATATTAGATCCACCAGATGTGCAAATCTTAATGTTCCTACATTAAGAAAAAGAAATGTGGAAAAACAAGTCAATATTACACCTTCAATATATCATAATTCTCTAGTAACAGATTCCAAAGAAGTCAAAATGGATGAACTGCCTGACAAAAAATTTAAAATAATGATTTTTTAAAAGCTCAATAAGATCCAAGAAAATATAGATAAATAAATAAAATTAGGAAGACATGCAGGATAGGAATAAGATATTAAGCAAGAGGTAGAGGTTCTGAAAAATAACTGCACAGAAATCTTAGAAAAGAGCTCAATAAGTCAAATTTAAAAATTGAGTTGAAAGTCTTATGGAAGAAAATATCTGAGATTGAAAACATTCTTTGGAAATATTCCATTCAAACAGGAAAACAAAAGAAAAAAGAATGAAGAGAATATTAAAGATCTTTGGGAAAAATTAAACACAAAATCCGCATTGATGCAACATTCAAAGTTAGGAGATAAAAGGTTAAGAAAACATATTCAATGAAATAATAGCAGAAAACATCTTTAATTTGGGAATGCCATGGACAATTATATATGGAGGCATAGAGAATGCCAATTAGATATTATCAGAAAAGATCTTAATCATACATATAATAAAACTATCAAAAGAAGATCAAAGGAAGAATTTTAAAATTTGCAGGAGAAAAGCACCTTGCCACATTTAAGGGCAACCCAATTAGATTAAGAGCAAAGTTTTTAGCAGAAACCATCAGGCCAGGAGGGAATGGGATGACATATTTTAAATTCTGAAAGGAAAAAAATGCCAAACAATATTATAACAAGCAAGGCTATCCTGCAGAAATGAAGCAGAAATGAAGATCTTCTACAACAAAGAAAAACTAAGGGAATTTATGACTATGTGATCAGCCTTATAAAAGATGCTTAATAGAATCATGCACTCAAAAGTGAAAGAACAACTAGAATCATGATAGTATATGAAAGTATAAACCCTACTAGAAGAGTAATTACACAAAAGAGAAAAAAGAATCAAACATCAATACAGTAAGCTGTGGGAAGCATGAATAATAAAGGAAGAAAAGAACAAAGAATATCAAAACCAAGAGAAAAGCAGCATATAAAATCAATACCCATAAGTCAAATGCATTACTATGTATCAGTGATGAATCCTCTGAAAGAGAAATTAGGAAAACTATTCCATTCACAATAACCTCAAAAAAGAAAACAAACAAACAAAAACTTGGGAATCAATTTAACAAAAGAGGTGAAAGATCTTTACAATGAAAATTATAGAACACTAAAGAGAGAAATTGAAGAAGACCATAGAAA